CATTGGTGGAAAATGACGGAAATAGGCAATTTTTTATATGCCCGAGGGGTCCCCTCATTAATTGAGGAGCAGAAGGTCATTAAAACAAGAGAGCTAGTCTCTAAAACAGACATGGCTATGGCTTGATGCTAACATGTTTGTTATCTGTCAGAATTCTGAGATTAAAGTCAGAATTCTGACTTTTTCCCCATACTAAACTGAAATAAAATTTAAAAATCAGTTTACTTATTTTTTTTTCAGTGGCCCTAATCCTCTTCCGTATAACAGTGGTAGCTAATACAATCCATACTAATCAGATATATCTGAAAGTCTCGACTTGAATGTGTCCAGGTCAGATATCAGTCTTATTTTATCCAAAGTCTGTTAGCCGCCACAGAAATCCCCCTATTACCTCTATTAAACCTAGCCTCCTCCAGTAGCTGCTGATTTGAGGTTTAAAGGCTCGGTCATGCTCTCCGACAGTAAAAAGAGCAAATACCATGGGGCCAAACCATTTAGAGCTTTAAAAGCAAGCATTCAAAGTTTAAGCGAACTGTCTGAGTCAAAGATTTGATAAATACACTGAGAGAGGAAGTTATTCCACAGAGCCGAGCATTTAAACTGACCTCTACTTTTATTGGTAGCTGTTGTACAGAACAAATCCATCTTTTTTTCCCGCAGTAACAGAATTTATATTGTTTTGATTTATTCAGTGGAGGAAAAAAAATAATCCCACATTCAAAAATAATTTGTGTGGGTTTGGAACTGGACCAAAGCAGAGAGAGGAACTGGGAGGGGAACTGATCCACACGGATGGAGCTGAACTAAAACACAAAGAAACTCTTTGATCAACCACAGGCAAAGAAAAAAACACAAAGAAGTACCTATGGTTAAACCTTTTACATTACAATGTGCAATAAAAATAGGGTTAAAAACTGATGGATCATGAAACAATTTTTTTTTAATCTATTCAAGCCCTATTTATAAGCGCCCCTGAAAATTCCAATAAAAGTATATTTTTATTTCTTATTTTTGTGTTGATTAGCAATCCTTCTTGTGTTTTTATCTTTCTACTGCTGTAAATGAACACGTAAAGGCAAGACCTTTTGCTCTCAGCCTCGTAGTCGCGGTTTAATTTAAAAGGAAAATAACATTTTTTAAGCTCTGAATAGCATTACTTGTCTTTATTCAGAGTGTCTATGAAACAGGCAAGGTGACAGTGATGGGTTGGCAGCATCAGAGTCTAAAACATGAAGAAGAAAAAAGTCTTAAAACATTTTGCTTTCTAGCTGTAATCTTTTCCTTTGGATCCAGCACACATTTCAGATCAACAAGTCGTTTTTTTATTTCGAGTGCTCGGCTTATTTTCCAAGTGGGCTCTTTTATATTTTCTTTTCCAATTTAGAGTTTTAAAGTGCATTACTCAAACTTGTTACTCAGCCAGCCATGACACTAACATGCACTCAGGGGACATTTTGACATGAATTTGTGGCACAAGAAGCTGCTGTAAACTGTCTGCTTTCCCATTACGAGGCAAAGCTAAAAAAGACACAAGCCGTGAGAAAACCGGTTAGTTATTTATCGTCAGCGTCGTGCTGCAGAGGCCAGTTTACCTCCTCTTGCCAACCACCCTGAGGGCCACCCGGAGCTCCATCCTGAGAGCATAGCAGCAGCAGTGGCGGCGATGGCGACAGTATTAGAGTGACAGCTCATAACAGCTGTTAGGGTTGAGAGGTGAGGCTGAGAAAAGACAAATGAGGTCCTTTTACTAATGAGGCAAGAGCTCATCCCTCCCCGTCCCTCTCAGCTGCAGCGGCGTTATCGGTATGCATCTCGCTCTGCTTCCTCTTTGTTTCCCGCCGCCTCCGAGGATTCTGCCTCCAGCATGGCAGCTCAGAGGAAAACACTCCTCAAAAACCAGCGGTGTGATGGCAGTGACATTTGAATGAAGCCTGGTTCTTTATTATCAAAAGGCGCCACTTTAAACATATGGAGGAAATCTGATTTGCTTCGTTCACACAGAATCTGTGTCTCATGACGTCTGCTTTGTTTCTCTCCATGTAGCTAAATGTGTTTGCTGACTGGTCACCTTATGCTAAGCTGCCCTTTGATGCATCTACACATGCATCACGCTAAAGTACTGAAACCCATTAAGCCCTTTCACATTTTGTTTAGCTATGAATACAAACTTTGTGACAGATCCACATAAGGAGGGAAATGATTCAAGATTTTTGAAATGTTTTACTTCCAAGTGCATTTTTATTCTGTCCTTCAGAGTAAATACTTTAAAACTGCATTTCTATTCGATTACAATTGCAAGTAATTTGTAAATAAGTAGTTTCTGTCTACCAGCTTTGCACATTTAGATTCAGATTATTTTCTATTCTTTTGCCAAATTATAATAAAGAGAGAACTTGGTGAACATCAACTCTTGCCATAGATCTTAACTGGATTTAGGCCTGGACTATGACTAGGTCTAAACTAGATCTAAACCAGTCCATTGCAGTCCTTTTGAAAGCCTCTTACAGGTTTTCTTCCAGTGCCATCCTGTGTTAAGTGTAATGATCTCGGTTCTGTTGGTTTTCTCTAAGTTTACAGTTTCATGTTTCTTTTCTAGCTTTATTGATGTGTTTTGGATTTATTTTAGTTTCTTAGGTTTTTCATCGCTTGTCCTCTGTTGCCCCCTTGTGTTTTCTTTTTCCTTGGCTTCCTCGTCAGACCAACTCACACCTGCTCCTTATCAGCTCGTTAGTCCTGCCCCTTTTTTCAGTCAGCCATAAATAAACTCCCTGTTCAGTCCTTCAGTGCTGGTTCCTCGTCTTACTTCGTCTCACCCTGGCTCCTTGTGATGGTTATCCCTTGATGTCTCCATGGTTCTGGCTTGTGTTTTCTTTTTATGTTGGATTTTTGGATACCTGTTTTTGTTGCCTGATCTTTCATTAAATATTTAAAGAACTCACCCCTGCCTGTTAGTCTCTGCATTTGGGTCCTCACAAAATCCTCCAAACAAATCGTAATGTTTCACCATGTCTTACGGTTGTAGTTCTAAATGGCATGTAGTTTTTTTTATTTTTTTATTTGGGCCAAACGGTTCAGTTTTTGGCTGACATGGCCAGAACATCTCACTCCAAAAGTTTGTTGTGTTTTAAACAGCGTGTGGCAATCCTCAAAACCTATGTCATGTGTTTCCACCCTTTAAACCTTGCTTTTCTCTTCCCACTCTTCCGTAAAAGCCCAATATGTGAAATGAAACACTAACAGCTGTTCAGTCATTAATTTTCTCCTACCGAGTTCTTAATCTCTGCAGCTCCCCCAGAGTTACCGTGGGTCTCTTGGCTGCTTCCTGAATCATTTTAAGAGACACTTTTGCCTTTTATTAAAGCCAAAAAGGGGTGTTTAGTGCCACAGAAAAAAAGCATGACTGTAGATTTTTGTTTTGAATTTTAAATGAAGGAACAAGAGTTTTTGATTTTATTGATTTTATTCTTTTTCTTTAATGGGACATTTACTAATTAGAAGCATATACCATGCAAACTATTAATGATGAAGTAACCCTAATGAAAATATATTGTTTCTTTGAAATGTAATGTACAATTTGCATAGAAATATCTGGAGAAATAAAATGCTAAAATGGATTTTTCTTTTTTTATGACTTTTATATTTGAAAATATTGCTCAGCTCTTCAGGATTTTTTGGGACAGAGTTCTTAAGAACCACACAGGAGGGTCTAAACAATCACATTTGGCTCTAGAGTTTGCAACCCCTGGTCTAGCTGGTGACCAGACCTCCATAGGTTGTAGACAATATATTGCAATGTTGTTTTTTTAAACAAATCTTCCAATAAATGTGTGAAAACCTATCTGTCTGCACTACTTCTTGGTCTTTCTGAACTTTTTCTGTATAAAAATGAGAATACAAGAGTCTGATTATAAATGAAGATCTGCATTTTATTTGTATAACCTTTTTAAAATCACTAATCATTTTACTTTGACTTTGTATTGGTCTATTCGTTAAATTACTTTTTTTTTAATTAAGTCTGTTCTAACTAGATACAGGTTTCATTATTTCAAGTGATATGAGAGATAGGAACATTTCTGCCAGGAACTATAGGGACCCTATTTAGGAATGGCTGTCCTTTGTTAATAACTTGTCATTCACAGGCTTAGATACAATTTTGCAGTTAATAGTTTGGTTCTGTCTGTGCAGAGTAATGTATTTTTTCTGCAAAATAAGTTGTGCGTCAAACTGACTGCAGCCCATTAAGGGGAGCTCAGCGATCACGGCAAACATTGGGTGTGAAGGAAATAAATGAAAGTAGGCCACCAGACACAGCAACGCATCATAGGAGGCATTTGAATTTCCAGGCGCTGCAGTAAATCAAGTTAAGCAGCAGAGAAAAACAAAAACATCGACCGTGCTGCTTTTTAAAAATGTGCAGTCTCTGCAGCTGATCCGCGGGCTTTTAGTCGGCGTATGTCAAATCCTCTGTGCTGAAAGTCGTTTAGAAAGTGACATTTTACAAAAAGGTGGAGCAGATTGGCTTTTATTTTGAAATTGACTGTGCTGCTCCTCTGTCCCTGAGAGCTGTTGTAAAGTTATCTTTCCAGAACCGCATTATGCACTATTTTCAGATCAATCTCTCTTTATGTACCATTGGCTGTGATTCATTTAAAAGAATCAGATATTGATCCCAGCTCTCTTGTCCATGAGATGCTTAGCAGGGTGACATTCAGTTCCCTCATTGCCCATTTTCCCCTAACTCTAACACTGCAGAGACGGATTGATGCTGCGAAGTGTTACAGTACCAAGCGTTATCGATTTCCTAACAGAGCTTTGTGTCTACTTCTTTTCCTGATGATCCAATTCACTGATGCTACATGCTTTCCTCACACCCGGTGGATTGTTTGCTTGACGAAACGAGACTCATGCAGCTCCAGAGGCTGAGCGAGGCCGAGTCAAAGCTGGGATAAAAAGTGTCAGAGTACAGAGCGCATAACCCCAGTTTAATTTTCTCTTTCCAGATGGACTGGCTCGCACCTGAGATGTGAACCGTGTTATGTGAGCCGAGGTGTTTTCCCACCTTGCCGGTGGTGGGAAGAGATGCTGCGCGCCGTTACCATGGCAGCAGAAGTTCTACTTCTTCTTGGGTTCCTGATGAGCGGCACGCTGTGCAATCCCATAGCGACCCTACCGGTGAGCCGGGATCGTCTTGAGAAGGCGCTGACCCAATCCAGGGAGGACAAACAGCAGGAAAAGCAGGGCCCCGAGGAGCCTCTGGAATATGCTGCTCAGGAAAGAAATACCTTTGGCCCCAACAGGACTGCCCTGGATCTCAGCAGGCCGAACTTTAGCTCCCTGACACAAGGGTCCAAAGTCAGTACATCCCAGGAACAGTGGACCGAGCAGGAGGCTCTAAACCAAATAGACGAGGGCCCCACCAGCGACGTTGCTCGGTCCCTGGATGCCATTGACGAGTATGCCTACCCAGACTACAGAGGGAAAGGCTGCATGGATGAGAGCGGCTTTGTGTTTGCCATCGGCGAGGAGTTTACCCCGGGCCCTTCAACATGCCCTTGCCTCTGCACAGACGAGGGCCCTCTCTGCACCCAGCCCGAATGTCCCAAGGTTCACCCTCGCTGCATTAAAGTGGACACCAGTCAGTGCTGCCCTCTGTGCAAAGAGAAAAAGAACTACTGCGAGTTTCGAGGCAAGGTCTACGCCTCGCTTGAAGAGTTTAAGGTGAGCTCTTTTTAACGCTTTTCCTCCTCGTTCACATGCTCCGACCTGAAAGAATTGCTGACCAAACGCTCCACGATATCAATGGAGTTTATCGCCGGCACTACACAGAAACAAGTAACCTTGCCTTGCAGCATACAAGCAAGCACTCAGGCAGATTTATAATGGCAAAGGTCAGCACATGTTTTTTTCTTCTTCTTTTTTTTTTGTTCCCCCTCACAAAATGTTACCGGAGGCTGAATTTAGCCACGCAGCTTCAGCAGAGTGTTTCCATATTCAGTTAGTCGATCCAAAGGGTTACAGCGCCCATAATGTTCCAGCTCTGCAGGGCACACTCATACGTGTGGGTGTTTGGGAAAGACACTGAGACACATCACTGAGGTCTTTACTCTTTTATCTTCTGTCACGTCTTTATAAAGAGGCTTGACTCTGGATTGCACCACTGTCTCAGTGCTATGTCTTTTATGAGGCAATAGATTTAACCCTAATGCTCCTTTTTATGTATGTAGCGTCTCCACAGATGGTTAAGCCTAATATGGAAAATCTGCCTCTAAATCTGCCCCGCTGGCATCTCTTCGTTAAGTCTCAGCTCAGGGGATTCTAACAGAGGGCTCTACTTCCAAAAGCAGCATACGTCAGGCTCTGGGCTGTGTGTAGGGGAGGTGCAACAGGCTGTTTTTTTATGCTTGATTGCTACGTTCTGGGGCATTGTGCTAAGTGCTACCTCACTCCATTTTTCACAGTGGAGTGCCGTGCGGAGGCACAAGCTTCAGCAATCTGCAGCAGCGCTGGCAGAGTGAGTCTGTTGTTAGGACTAGAGGTGTATGACTTCATATAAGCAGCTGCAAAATGAAAGCTGCACGCACTGAATGTAAATCAAACTGTACCCCCTACACCCCCCCACCCCCCAGCCTTTGTTTCACCTTTTCTCCCCCTTTTTTCAGACACACTGAAACACTCGGATGGCCGATTCTGTCAACGCTCAGGGGAAATTGAAAGCATCTCTCTATTGTTTCCCAGTTCCTATTGATTTCTCCTTATCTTCTGATTGAATAGCGTAGTTCAATTCTCGGTTCGGCCCTCTCAAAAATGAGGCGCTCATTGGCAATAAAGCTGAGAGAACTGAGACTCCCCGATAGATGTAGCTTTCTGATGTTGAAAGCATACTTTCTTAAACAATAAAGGCAGCTGGGAATTTTTATTTCTTCGTGTGTTTTCAGGAGCATTAGATACACATCCTTAGGGAGACCTCCACAGCCCTCGAACTTTAACACATTTGGTCACGTTTCTATTAGAGGTAGACAGTTCCATCAGCCGGCTGATATTTTTGGCCGATATTAGTGTTCTGTTTTTTTTGTATGGACATCGTCTGCCATGTGCATGCTTTCACTTATTCGTTAGAGCGTTCAGTGTTGCTGCTCCATACATCTGCTTGTTAACTTTTTGTTGGATTTGTTAACAAACGTTATTTTTGTTCAGATTGAGACTTGTGTAACATTTGAAATCACATTAGCAATAGGAGCTTCAAAAATAGGCCCAAATATACACAAACAAGTAGAACTGTTCTATAAAGGTTGCATTTTTTTATTTGACGGAGATGGAGTTTATTTTATATTTATATATAAAATAAACAATAGATATTTCTTTTTATTTGGGTATTATTTTATGTTAAATAATTTATTTTAATATATTATTTTATACCTTATTTTTTATATATATATATATATATATGTGTGTGTATGTATATATATATATATATGTGTGTGTATGTGTGTATATATATATGTGTGTGTGTATGTGTGTATATATATATGTGTGTGTGTATGTGTGTATATATATATGTGTGTG